CTGACGCGGGTGCATTCTGTTGTACTATTCTGCTATAAAACAGCTTCTAAAACGTCATCGAACATGGCGCGGTCACGTCATATAGATTAAAAGCTACTTCAAAAGTTACAGCAGGCCAACTCTGCTACAGTGTTATTAATAAACAAGATTTAACGTTGGAGTAAATCTACGCTGCTACAGTACTTAGTATTAGTCGGAATTGATATTATTTAACAGAAACTTAGCAAAGGTTAACCTAGCACAAGGTTCTACAGGAGTGATTTTTCCGCCTAAAGGGTAGTTAGTAGCTTTGCTTATTCTCTGTATAATATGAATTTGGACTAATACTAAAATTGCAATTTTCGCGTAATTTACGCTAAACTTTGTTTATTAATAGCACTACTAATGTTTACATCATAAGCATCTCAATAGAATATCAACGACTTGCATTCTAACTCCAATACTATTAATGCAATGTCTTCCTCACACATCAATTGTGACAAATATATAACAATATTAGACTTCCGGAAGAAACGAAAACTAACTTTAATACCAGGTTTAAAACACTATCCGACCAAAATAGGACAGCAACGTCTCAATATGACGTTTCCTCCTCATCATTGTCAATTTCTTTAAGCGGCCAATGGTATAAACCAAGTTCTAAATTTGTATTTTGTTTTATGACAAGGCCTTGTAGTCTTTTGGATTGGTACGGCAGACAGTTCTTCGTACAATTTTATATGTTTGATCAATTTCATAAGACATATACGACCTTCATAGTTGGTAGGAATGGCTCAAATTGACGTTGCGTACTCCTTGATACTCGTGTATTGCATAAATCGCCGCGTGTGGATATTTCCTAACCCGGTCCGGTATTTTGTTATAACTATATATCTACAAACCTTGACCTGCAAAAATGAATTCTATTACATTGGAACAATCGTAATTTGTGTGGGATTGCTCATTAAAACTATTTTATGTTATCATATATTCGCAAATTAATTGTAAGTTAAATTCCGCAATTTCACTTTTTTGTACTTGTGTACTAATAAAATAGTGTGCAATAGGAAAATAGTAAATATACATGAGAAAGAAAAGTTTCTGAATGTCTGTTCTACGTAATTCACCTAGTTTAACTAGTTTCACAGAGTAAAAGAATCCAGTGTTTTGTTTAGTTTATTTTTGCTGCTACTACGAGTATACTTTATACGACGACGAAACATTTCCTAGACAAAATTTGAATTTTCTGCACTTATTATGTCAACCAGTAATAGGAAAGCATAATAATTAATTAAAGATTACAAATTAAAAACTATAACTAAGCTAATCAGACATTGTATAATATTATTAAATAGTAATTTAATCCTTTCGCTACGTATACCTAATACTTTATCAATTAGAAGTGTGTACAAAATTCAAATGATTTTGATACAAAATTATTACGTCTAAATAAGCTGTAATAAAAAATAGCAAACTACATCATACTTTTACATTAAAGTAGCTGTTTGCCCGCGACTTCGCACGCGGTAATTATAGCCTATGTCAACCCCGTATGATGTAGCTACCCGTAGGTGAAACAATTTTTAAAATAGGTGCAGTAGTTTCGGAGCCTATTCGATGCTATCAACCAAACGCTCAAATCTTTCCCCTTTATAATACTAGTATAGAAAATGCGAATATTTGTGTTGAAATAATGTTTGTGACTCTTTCTCGCAAAGACTACCGAACGGATTTTGTTGATTGAAACCCCTTAAATTCATAAATAATTTAATTTTTTGTTATGAAAATGAAAAATGTTTCTTTCCAGAAACTATTACAATTTTATACACACTGACCCCCACACTAGGCAATGCCTGGCCTGTGGTGGAGATTATTACGATTTCCTATAAAAGTATTTAGAACAAACAGTTTTTCCGTTATTTTATAGAATGCTGTTTACCGTCATGTATATATTTGACTGTATTTATGTCTTTATGTCGTGTTTGTGTGAATTCTGTCTGATGAGTGTATGCGTAATATTATATGTGGGATAATTGTACCCTTTTTATGGAGAAAATTTATACATAGTGATATGAGTACATATGCAGGTGTTTATTCTATAATTTACGCCGGCGAAGTAGCGGAAAAAAACTTAGTAATAAATTAATAAAATATTAACACAGTGTTGATGTATTAATTTTGAAGATACCAAAGTTCAAGTTTAACAATATATATATTTTTATTAATACGCAAAGCCCAGGAAATAAATGACGATTATTTATTTTCTGTCTCGGAGTTTACTTTTTTAATGAGTTCGTTGGTGTAAATTATTAACGTGCGATCAAAGGTTACAATAGAATTAAAAAGGCAAAGCCATAGTCGCCACTGGTTTGCATAATGCTTGTGTTAATAATTAGTGAATACCACAAATTAAATGTCGTACCAAGGATCTTGTCGGCTACTTTTTAGGGTTCCGGGTCAAAAAAACAACTACATTATAGTATTATTACTCGGTTGATGGTCTGTTCATCTGTCACTACTACTAACTAATGAACCGATTGAATTAAATCTTTGAACCGAAGATTTTTCTTTTACTTCCTACAAATACTTTAAATGCGAAACTCTGTGAGGGAAGGATATATGTTTGTTACTCTTTCACGCAAAAATTACTGAATGGATTTTGTTGAAGTCTGAATTAAAATATACTTAGGTTACTTTTCAGCCCACTAAACGATTCCCTGGGGATAAATGTATTGTCAAGTCATCGTTCAAACCACGCGGGCGAAGCCGCTGGCAGAAAGTTAGTTGTGAATAAATGAAATCGAAACATGCCCGTCTCTTTAGGGCAAACTATGCGACATCGGTACTTAAAAAAAAAAGATTTTATTATAAATAAAATTTTATGTTTTGAATATAAATAAATTTTTATTAATTTAAGAAAATAGACGCAAATTTATTACCCTCCATTCTCCCCTTACAGGAAAACTTAAAGTTAAGTAAATTTTGAAAAATGTTAAATATTTTCAAAGATAAAAAAGGGGCTGTATTATTGAGACTCCGCCATATGTGTGTATATCATGAATCGTGATAGCTAGATAGTTGAAATTTTCACTGTTGACGCTATAACAACAAACACAACAGACAGAATTAAATAATTATATATCCCATTCAGCAAATGTGATTTTTTTTCGTTTCTTATAAATAAAATAATTGTACGGAGCCATTCTTGCGCGAGCCTGGCGCGCAGTTGAACGGCTATATTTTATTCTCTTCGTTCTTTCACTCCTACGTCATTATCAAATGAATTATTCAACAAAAACAGCAGATTTTGCTAGAAACCAACCAAAGCTTAAGATTAATAATGAGATGCATAAACAAGTTTTAGTTAATCGCGCCGTCGTTATTGGTCATTGTTAATTGATGCTGTCTATATTCCATAATAATTATTTAAATTATTACTTTATAAAAAATCCTTTAATCTTTTCACTTTTATTTCGTGGACCTTAGTGTCAATTTTCTATTTATTTATTTATTATTACTAATTATTTACTTGAGAGAGACTAACAACGAAGTGACAAAGGGCTTTTTCCTTTTGGAGTAAAGAACCTACAGAAATCATTTTATAAATCACTGCCGAAACCTCGATGATAATCAGTGGGTTAATTGTCTTATTTTAAAATCGTAACCGCTTTTGGAAAGAACGATGAATTAAATATGATCAAGAAACAATAAAAACTTAGTTGAACCTATCGAAAGATTGCGGTTAACATTCACTCTTTCGTTTAACATTTCTCTAGAGCTTTCAAACATTTATCGCTTTGCTTAGGCTACTTCAATTTACAATATCGTTCATTTAATATCTTAATAAAACATTCGCAGTCGTTATCGCGTCTCAAATAGTTGTAACGTGAAGTTCGTGAATCTCTTTCAAATTGAAAGGAATTGCAATGAACTTTAAAATTAGACAATTAGAGACAACATTAAAAGACCTCCTTAGCTAGACACTTAATTTCTCAGCAGTTTCTCATACATGAATAATAAAATTATTATAATTATAAAATAGGCCAGTTTTCCTTTCGTTATTGACCCAAAGTCACGGCCACGAAACAGTTATAACCTTACGATAACAGACAAAAGACAATTGAGATACAAAATGAAATTTTATTTTCCTTGTTATTATAATTATTTTTATATGTCATAACAACGCCAACGGATAAACTAAATACTGTTGACACACACTAACTATTGTTAACTTTTTCAAACTGAGGTTTACAATTCTGTTAACAAACTTATTAAGTTAACTTATTATATTATAGTATACAGGAGTATAAAACGATTCTTATATTACTAGACTTCTTGATCATCTTAAATTTTGTAAATAATTTTTCGATAGTCAAATATAAATCATATCGGCATAGAATACATTGCGAATCCAACATTTTACACCAATGATCAAAGAATAATAATAATTGAATGACTATTGCTATCACTTTGAGATAGTGGTAGGACCTCTGATCCCATCAATTTCCACTCAGTGGCCATCACCAGTGAAACATGATTGACTACAATTCCCTGTTTTTTATTCAGACCAAAAAGGGTCGTGTTCAGATCATTAAGGATATCAATCCTCTTTACAGTCGGATATAGATAGAGTTAACAGCGAATTTTCTTGTATTGAAACAAAAATAGTTTGGTAACTAATAAATTTGAGATCTTCGAATAGTTTTTTAATGTCCAGTATAAATTATACTGTCCCAAACTTGTTTGTAAACGTAAAACAAAATAAAATATGGCTATGACGCAGACACCACCTTTTTTTTAAGTGTTTGAATTGATATTTATAATATTTTCCAACTAAAAGATTCATTAGAGACAATCGTTACAAAATTATGAAAAAAATTTGGGACAGATATCTATTTAAAGTTATTTTACATGTCTATAACATACTAGTTTATAGTATGGTATTTAAGTTTTATGATATATTGTGGTATCATGGACGACATCATCGATCGTTCTGCTCTAATTTATTTATTTTAATATCCAAGATAAGGACAAAGTACGGTGTTGTTTACAATATATCGAATATTACCGATAGATTTACTACTATTCCTAACTTTTAATAATTAACTGCAATTTGTTCAGGACAAGATGCCACCATCTGCAACACTAATCCAGCCCTCGGGGGAAATGTGGAAGAAGATCAGGGAGGAGTTGAACGAAGACGTCAACACTAGAGACAAGGATGTGGCCACTATCAAGGAGTGGCTGAAAAAACAGCCTCATCTTCCCGACGACTGGGGTTTGTTTCTTTTGTTTTCTTAAATAATTCTGTTAATACTAAACACTATAATTATCATCAAACGCGTCAATGAAGTCGAAATAAACGAATTTTAAAATCTTATGTCATCAGTAATTCACATGTAAGATGTAAAAACGGAAATTAAATGCCGTATTGTGTTGCTTTTGGGCTGTTGCGTGTTGTTTAATACATTAGAATAAAATGGATATTTTTCTTTTGCCTTAACACAACATGATACATAAGAAAACTTGTTCCGTTTGTCTTCGTTGACTGGGTTTGAACGGCCAGCAGTATTATTAGTCCCGTTTTTAGAGTTCATAAAAAGGAGTGTATTGTGTAAAAGATCAATGTATAGGTATATATTAATTGATAGATTTAATAGATAGATTTAATATATAGATTTAATTGTTATGAATGTCTAGTTTATCTGTAGACACGTTACATCATTCCGAGTAAAACTGACAAAATAAAATATTCAAAATGATGGACTTCATTAAAGAAAAAAATAAATAAAAATCTTCAATTATAGCAATAGTACATAACATCAAAGCCCAAAAATAATTTAAAAATGAAGATGAGAGTTTAGCTAGCAACTATAGACCAATATCATTAGATTCTATATGGTCAAAAATATTCGAATGACCAATGTATTCGTGATTAATAAATTTCATAAAAATAAATAATCTTATCAAAATAGAAAAAATACGGCTTTTTCTCTATTTGAAAAGATAAATAAATACGTTGACAAAAGCATGCCACTGACTACGATTTTTCTTGACTCGAGCAAAAGTTTTGACTAAGTATGTGTCTCACGATTTGCTCCTTTACAAATTGGATTGGTATCAGAGGTCTGGCTTATGATTGGTGAAATCTTATTTGTGATCACAATATGTTCAAATCACAAAATTTAAAATAAATTAATAAATCAGTAGAATTATTCCATTTTGATGTTCAAATTAATAATCATGGAGTGCCACAAAGAAGTATCCTTGGATCGGTTCTTTATTTGATGTACATAAATGACCTACCGGATAATTTAAATTATCCTTGTATTTTGTTTGCAGATGATATATCTGTAACTGCTCCATGCTTTAATGCAATAACCTATAACGTCGAACTAAATAAAACCTAGGAATCAGTAATAAACTGGCTTAACCAAAATAACCTTACGATTAACATAAATAAAACTAAGGTCCTAAGTATATACGAGCACAATTTATAAACAAAAACGGGAACAAAAAAAATCCCGAGATCAACCATAAAAACAAAGAATTACAAGAAACAAAAGATGTCATCTTTCTAGCCATAGTATTAGATGATAAATGCATATGGGAACAACATTTTAATTAAGTTGTGTAATAAAACAAACTCGCATGCTCATGCGCTACTGAAATATGACATAGTACGAGTATTATGGTGCAATTGATATCACGTTTACAAGATTTTCATTGCCCAAAAGGCATGTATTTGAGCAATATATGATGTTGATAACTTGGTTTCATGCAGGCCTCTGTTCAGGAAGCTGAGGGTCTAGACGGTCCCCTGTGTATACATATATGAAATGTGCATTTTTATAAAGACGCATTCAGAATTATTTAATTCATTGTATGACATTCCACGTCTATATAGTTGCAAATGCCCAAACAAATTACTATTACCAAAACTCGAACATTCATGAGCTTTAGAAGTTGTCACTCTATGGCAGTAAAAATTTACAATAACCTACCTACTAGCATACGAAATCTAGAACTAAATAAATTTAAACATACACTTAAGAAATGGCTTAATAAAAATGTTTTATACGGGAAATGAATATTTGCAAAAGTGACATTTTAAATCTGACAAGAAAAATTTGGACGTAAAGTGACATTGATATTGTATGTTTTATAAATTACTTTACATGACCATAAGTGGGTGAATGTGTCAATTGGAAATCTTTTAAACCTATAAACACTTACTGTACCACACACGCGAAATAAATTATAAGTATTTATAAGTATTTTATTATTATTATAAGTATTTTGTACTTTACACAATTTGAAATGAAGTCTCACTTTGCATCAATGAAATTGCAGATAGTGATCGTATCATGACATTCCTGCGGGGCAGCAGCTTCTCCCTTGAGAAATGCAAGAAAAAATTGGACATGTATTTCACAATGAGGGCTGCCTGCCCAGAATTCTTCACTAATAGAGACGTCACGAGGCCTGAACTTAAGGATATTATGACCCGTGGGTAAGTCACCATTGACCTTGCCTAAAATGAGAGTTACGAGATAATTATGACATTTAAAATCTTGATAAGAATATATTAGATCTGATCTCTTCGATTGAATTGCTCATAATTTGGTTTCAACTACTGTCAAATCCATAATCGTACAGAATGATGATGAAAATGATAATTCATTCGTCATGTTAAGTAAAACATGTTAAAGTAGTAAAATGGAACGATATATCGCCATAATTTGGGTAAGATATCGTATCCTATGGCTAGAGTCATGGGTAAAGAGTAAGGCAGTTGCACCTTTGGTCCCGGTCTCCTGAATGCCCGCACCTTGATTGAGACTCAAAAATGTGTTACGGCGCACTCGCTTTTTGGTTCAACTTATGAAAGTTGCGGTATGAACCGCGTATTATATACAGCTATTCGGACGTTATTATGATGTCATTATTGTTTATTAAAATTTTGTTGTCTCTTGTATTACATTAAAACTCATTATATATAATTTATGATCTTTTTCATAAATATAATAAAGCTGTATTTACAGCGGTCTACATGAGGGATTTTTTGCTATTATAATAAGACGATGAAGTTTCCTTTTTTGTATCCGAAAGACAATTTGTCAAGTCGGTTCTAATTCACTGAAGTTATTTTGAATATAATTATGCTGGTATATTACTCGCACATTTGTTACAAACGCTTAAGTTTTTTGATGCTTAAATTAACTGGTATTTTTTTAAGATTAGAAAATACTACATCCTGTTTACCATCATACTTAGTAATGAAAAAATATTTCATTTATTTAAAAAAAAAATCTACAGATCCTAACTAAATTTAGTTACTATCCTGGAGAATTTCAAATCGTTCTACTAATATATTGTGTTATAGTTTAAACAACTAAATTGATCTTAGGACATTTTTCATATCCTCCTAAAAACATTGGCTATATTTAAAATGTTTAAAAAATAATAATATTTAAGACCCGTTCAATTAGTATTTAATGTGATATTATGATGATGGTATTGTTTTATTTTCTATGGATAAGAATATAGATGTACATTCTGTTATAAACAATAAAAATTAAAATTAAAATTAAAGATTTTTTTTTATTTTTCAGTCAGGGACCACCACTGCCAGGTCTTACACCAAATGGACGTCGTGTCATCATAGTGAGATGTAATTTAACTTTTATATATTTCAAAGATCCTATTCATACAGGCCGAAGTGTCATTTGATGAATTTTGATATTTTATTTTTACATTATAAATATCAAAATTGTGCTTGTACCAATGAAAATAATAATGTCATTAAAAAATCGGGTTTATTTGTAAGTAAAAGAGCTTACATATATGATGTATCATATACGAGGGTCAAACTGAAAGTTCTTAGAACTGGCCACTTATAAACAATATAATAAAAAAATAATTCTAAAATTTGAAAATATAACTCTTTGCCAATATTACTGAGTATATATTTCATTCATTTGTCATTTGTTTTACGATTTGGCGGCAAATTGAAAATTGTCTGTGTCACGTCATCATGAATTTAACACGAGAAAATTTTCGTGCAATGATTTTTTATGACTTTCGATGTCATTTAAGTCAACAAGAAAGTTATGATAGACTACGATTGGCCTTTCACGATGAAGCCCCATCTCGTGCGACTGTTTACAACTGGTTTAATGAGTTTAAACGTGGTCGCACTAATCTCACTGATGATTTACGTGAGGGACGGCCTTCTACGGCGACGACTGAAGATAACATCTGTGTTGTGCGGCGTATGATAGAGACTGACAAAAGAGTGACCTATCAACAGATTCGGACAAGCTTAGGCATCGGTATGAGTCAAGTGCACAAAATCCTCCACGAACATTTAGCGGTCAGGAAGCTTTGCGCCCGGTGGATACCTCATAATTTGACTGAGGCTCAAAAACTCCATCGTGTGGATTGGTGTCGTAAAATGATTGAAAGATTTAACGGAGGTGACTCAAATGCTGTGTTCGACATACTAACAGGTGACGAAAGCTGGATTTACTGTTATGATCCTAAAACCAAAAGACAATCTGCTCAGTGGGTGTTTCCTTTCGAGGAGTTGCCAACTAAAGTGAAGAGAGATCGAAGTGCGGGAAAAAAAATGGTGGCCTCGTTCTTTGGAAGGATAGGTCATTTTGCAACAATTGTGTTAGAGGATCAAAAAACAGTTTCTGCAGAATGGTACACTACCAATTGTTTGCCACTTGTCTTGGAAAAAGTTCGAGAGAAACGACCTCGCAGTAGGATCCTCCTTCACCACGACAACGCCTCGTCGCACACCGCCAAACGAACGATCGACTATTTGGCGACATCAAACGTTGAATTACTGGGTCACCCGCCGTATAGCCCCGACCTCGCGCCTTGTGATTTTTATTTATTTCCAAAAATTAAAGAAAAACTTAAAGGAAAGCGGTTTATGAATGCTGAAGAAGCGGTGGCTGCGTATCGCGATGCCATTGAAGAGACCCCTAAGGACGAGTGGGCAAAGTGCTTTTCCCAGTGGTTCCATCGCATGCAGCGGTGTATTGACGTGAATGGACAATATTTTGAAAAGATATAATAAAACTAATAACTGGCTAATGTAATCAGTTTTTGATTTTCTAAGAACTTTCAGTTTGACCCTCGTATATACGTACACATTTGACGTTTCAAAGTGTACTTTGTAACATCAAATGTGAAGTATTCTGCCTAACGTGTGTGATCTAATACAAAATTTTAAAAAAAATGTTTTAAATTGCATGTAAAGCTTTTGGGAAACAATGCAAACTCGGTGCTAATAACTGCGTATATAACCGTTATCAGTGGCTAACTCACCTCCTGAAACACGAAAGAGCTCGAGATTACACTTTCCGTCACTCATCTTTTGACCGTCCTTCGTGAAAGTTGCGTAACATATATTTACTCAAACCTAACGTGAAACCATTCCGCAATCTAGTTTCTCGTATCGACTCAAAATCTCATAAGTTGTCTCTATCGATTACAGCTAGCGACAAAACCCTTGACACTCACCACCTATACGACGCGTTCAAGATCACCATGATGATCGGCGACATCAGGCTGAAGGAAGAATACGAAGGGGTAGCAGGAGATGTCTACATTCTGGACGCTGGCATCGTATCACCGGCCCACTTAGCTAAATTGTCGCTGACAACTGTGAAAAAGTTCTTTATTTGCATACAGGTAAAATTAAAAAATAATATGATTATCAAAAATTTCGGACGATGAAATATCAAATAACAGAAGCCATCTTTTTATAAAACGATGGTTTAATTTAACTATAATTACTTTGTCTTCACTTAATTTGGTCGGTTTACACCTTTTAGTGAAGTTAGTTCTTGCCTTGATAATGAAATTAATAATATCAGACTTTATGATCGATTTCAACAATTGAACACCCCTAGTGGTTATTTAATAGGGCTGATGCCTGAAAAAGAGAAGAAATTCTATTGAGTCCTCAAGGCAGATAGAAGAAAAATATTAGACACTTTATTTTTTCTTTAATATTACAAGAGATGACTTACATAATAGGCATATTAAAGTTGAGGAGTGGGGGCTCGCCACGTCACAACTACGCAGAAATGTACAAAGGTGTAATGCGACATTTAAACTAGATATAAATAAAGAATTTTTTAATTACGCAATTATAAGAAATACGTGTTTAATAATCTTTTATAGTCTATCCGATAGACGAACAAACAAAAAAAAAGGCAGCATGGGATATTGTATAAGAAAACAAACATTACACAACATCGCATAAATTATTTAACTCAGATCCCCAAACTTATGCAGCTTTAGCCATTGTACTATGTGAAATCTAAAATCAGATTCGAGACGATAAGTTCAATTTCTACATTTACCGACAACCCTTATTTCAACTTACTTTATTTTTAGTTCAATGGTGTAATCGGAAAAGAGTAACAAACGGAATTTCTCATTTATAATATTGGTATATATAATACTTATAATGATAATGCAGTTGTTGAATTTACAGAGCGCTTAGTGTAAGTTTTTTTGACGTTTACGTTCACTGTCGATCGTGAGCGCGTTAAGATTTTAGTATGGAATCCGGTATAGCGCCTCTAGCGGTAACTACCAAGAACTACAAATCTCCATACAAATTCTTAACGCGCTCACTAGTGAACGCGTTAGCGTAAAACTTACACTTACCACTCAGAGCGCTTAGTGTAAGTTTTTTTGACGTTTACGTTCACTGTCGATCGTGAGCGCGTTAAGATTTTAGTATGGAATCCGGTACAGCGCCCCTAGCGGTAACTACCAAGAACTGCAAATCTCCATACATATTCTTAACGCGCTCACTAGTGAACGCGTTAGCGTAAAACTTACACTTACTACTCAGATAAGGAATAGTAAGTAAACGTACCGTTCATACGTAGCCATAGCAAATGAGACATAAGCGATGTTATAGCTTAACAACGACGAATGAATGATAAAACATGATAATTATACAATCACACCAATCACCTCATTTCTGTGTTATTATGCGAGTCAAATAAAAATAGTATCGGGTTTGCTACCAACTATATGGCTTAGCTGTCACTTTAGTACTGACAGAAGACAAAATTAAAAGCTAATATTTTTTTAGATCCGTTTAACTTTGCACATATTTAATATATTATTGTGTTTATTTTTGTCGCAACGTTAACGGTGGCCACCATAAATGTGTAGCCATTTTATGAATAAGAGGTCAATTACAAATATCAGTGTACCGTCATCCGCTAAATCATAATACGATAATGCTTTGATTTATAAAAAATAAATTTTTGTTCTTCTTTTGCACACCTTACACCCTGAAGTCGAAACGCAATGCGATGGTTGTTTGTCGGTCTTATTTAGCTCGCATAATATGTGACCATATGACACAGAAAAGAGGTCACAGCACTCTTCTCCTCTATCTAGGGAATCCTATTAAAATGAAGGTAAAAAATAATTAGTTTTCTATTTGATATTAATACACAATCGACGACTCCCAAAGATGGCGAAAGTACTCCATATACGAGCAATTGATCAATCCATACCACTACCATATAGAAGGGTTTAATATTGAATATATAAGATATCTAACAAAAATAAATCTATTTTAGGAAGCATACCCGGTGAAACTAAAGGAAATTCACATAGTGAATGCGGGACCCGTTATCGAAACTGTCTTGAGCCTCGTGAAACCATTCCTCAAGGAGAAAATAAAGAACAGAGTAAGTATATATTCTAGTTATCGAATATTTATTTCTTATAAGAATACAAATAAATATTCACTTAATGAGAAATTGCACCTTAAAATATAATTTTAGGCGCACATTACACATATTCACATATCACATTAATTTAACAATTTATAATTAATAAAAATAAATTTCCGTTCATTAGTCTCGCTAAAACTCGAGAACGGCTGAATCGATTTGACAAATTTTAGTCTTGTCTATATAAATAAAAATTAATTTCCGTTCGTTAGTCTCGCTAGAACTCGAGAACGGCTGAACTGATTTGACAAATTTTAGTCTTGAAATGTTCGTGGAAGTCCTGGGAAGGTTTAAACGATGAGAAAATAAGACAAAATTGAGAGTATAATACTAAAAACGACAATTTGATTTTCCCATACAAACTGTTCTTAGCTGTCGAACGTTCAGTTGACGATCAATATTTATGGTCGTGTAGTGGTCAGTTTACGCAATATTTTTCAATATTAATATGGTTTTTATTAAGAGGTAAGTGATACGAAGTTCACCGGGTCAGCTAGTTTATAATAAAAGTAATCATACAAAACATGAGAATGTACATAAAGTCATAAAGCGGCACACCACACTCGATGTGGCAATGATACGGATTTACACTTAAGGAAATATCATTAATAATATTCAATAAATTGTACATTTTTATTATTTATGGGTTATTTATATTTTTTAAATAGGTATAGAAAATCTTATTTACTTAATGTAAGATTACTTTTATTATTATTATTTGTTTAAATTATCACACATAAAGGATTATTACATATATACACCATGAATATGCCTACATATTGTAAACATCAAAGTCATATTAAACAAAAACTTTTACCAGAGTATGCCAACAACTGAAGAAGTCAGAAATTAATCAATTTTCATCAGGGATTCGATTTATATAGAAGCCCTGTAGATCAACTATCATACTCAAACTCTATAAATATACACAAAATTTTAATAACCACTTTTGTTGTTTTCAGATATTCTTCCACAGTGATTACAACAGCTTATATAAATACATACCCCAAGATATTCTACCTGAAGAATATGGTGGTCACATAGGCCCATTGACTGAAATTAACAGTAAGTTCATTAATAATCACACTTACCATTTTGTAACGTAAAGGAATTAAATAAATTCTGCTTTGTTTTAATTTTTTATAATTTTCTTATGTAATATTTACAAGTGATTTTTCCGCAACTTTTTCTAGATAAATTTTAACCTTTACCCCACCTTTAATCTATATTTGAAAGAATTTTTAAAATCGTTCCAATAGTTTCGGAGCCTATTCAATACAAAAAACAATCAAATCTTTCTTCTTAATATAATCGTAGAAAATAAAATATACACATATTACTCTAATGAGTTTTCTGTTGTTTAGAAAATTAAAAAAGTAGTTTGACAGGTTTAAAATTTAGATCAGTTTTTACAACCGAAACACTTAATTTTTGTTTCTATACATGTTAAGCTAACCTGTAAAAAATTATGGCGATTTTATGGTAATCATAAAAAAAGCTGCCAATATATAAACGTCCTGTATAATATATTATGCAGTTCAATTAAAGTAGTTAATAATAAAAGAAGTAAACAATAAGTACCCAAGTTTCTTGCAACCATGATGCAATGACCTGATTATTCTGAGTCATGAACTGGTTTCATCAAGAAACTGGTAGTGTGTTTTTTTTTATTTTACTTTTATAGATCAGGTAGCCAGATAGAGCTCGTAATGTAATTATGAGGAGGCATAATAAACTATGAGATACGTGAAGGGTGTATAAGGGTCGATACATATCTGTCGTAAGATGCATTGCGTTTTTACAGTCGCGGAACGCGGAATTTTGAAAATGACATTTACACCCGGTTTCTGAATTGAGAATTAAAAATGGAAAACGTCTTAAACTGTACTTAAATGACACTTGAACAGGTTTTCGTATTTTTTTAATCATAATTGGATAGTAGTTTGATTTAACTACGACTTTTTGACTTGTAAAAATCTTAAATTGTTAAGAATTATCTGTTGAGATTTTGTACTTTTCTCAATTTAGAAACCTGCCTGTCAACATTGCTCACTTGACGGATGATCCGTTGCTTATTGATGGAGAACTTCCGTGAGACACTTGAAGGATTTTCTTTCAGATTTGCAATGACACTAAATTAAAAAAAAAAACTTTTAATAATAATGAACGAGTTGATTTTTATAAATGTTAGATATTGATTTTCTTACTCTTTCATCTTATTCACCAACTGAACGAGTCGTAGAAAAAAATGATATACGATTCAAAAGTACTTTTGGTAGGTGTGTATCAATGCACATTTTCAATATATCCCAAAAATTCTGCTTGGTACTGCTCAAAAATTACATACACCCAACATTACCAACTTTAAACTGTTTTTGTAGAAAGAATTATTATGCAAATATTGTTAAGGGTTTTGTCACTCCCAACAGCGGAATGTATGCTGTTTTGAGTTGGCTAACAAAAAATTAGTTTACTGTGTTTAAACGCAGCGTGGTTTGGGCCTAAATTTTTAAGACTTTTAAAATATTTCTCGTTATTTACAGACGCCTGGTACAAGAAACTTGAAGAGTACGGCCCTTGGTTCAAGGCCGAGGAATCTGTGAAGGCCAACGAAGCGCTGAGGCCTGGAAAACCTACAAATTACAACGAACTGTTTGGCTTCGAAGGCTCATTCAGACAATTGTCAATAGATTAATATATAAACAATTTACAGAATACATAGCGTTTTTAAAAATTAAGGTCTTATATGGAATACAGTGTCCCACCTTTACTAATGGCAAATTTTCTGTGAACGCTTAATGCGGAAACATATTTTAACAAGAAAAATAATTTTGTACCTGTCTTAATACTGCATTAAAAATATAATAAAAAAATTGACATATTAGGACTGATCATAATGTGTGCAATGACTGTTTATTGCACACAGTATGATCAGTAGTTATTATGTACTTATTATCGGTTCTGGTATTCGACGACCGATTAGACGCAACGCATCTTCTGTCACTTATCGATATACACTTAAAGTTGTGTGTTAAATCTCATACAACAAAATCGCATAAAGACCAAGTTTGCATTCATACGATTAGAAACTTTGCTGTTTGGTTAGGATGAGTCATACTTTTACTCGAAATAAAAAGACCTTAATTTTTGATAGGGAGGTTTCTTGAAGTCTAAGAAGTATTACTTACTGTCGACACGCATTTTAATGGAGACTGTTACATTCCTTAAATCGCATTTTCCACTCAGGTTTTTTTTTTATTTTTTTTTTTGGTAGAACTTTTGACTAATTTTACGTCATCTAATATTTAAGTAGGTTTAATAAAGTGGGTATTTATATCAGGGGTGCGACTTCTTAACTCCCTAGCTATGACCTAGCCAGGCCCGAATCTAAGGGGGACAAGTGAGAGCATATGCCCTAGACGCCAGTGTTGGGGGCGCCAAAATCATGACAATATAATACATATATAAAATAAATTCATAGACATATATATCCCTAAAAAAATGTATGCCGTTGCGGGAGTAAAGGCGCAAAATCAAGTTTCTACCCCGGTTGGAAAAGTTGTAGATCCGGGCCTGGATTTAGCCATAAGATGCGAGATCTAAGTGATACGTCGATATTTTGGTTCATTGTACTAATTCTTCATGGGTTTCTTGGAGGATACATGAATAAGTTAGAAACATTGCTGTCAAATGTATGTACAATAATAATTCTTAAACATTCATTCGTCGTTATTAAAGTACATGTCAGAGTAGAAAAATGATATTCTGTAAGATAAATATCTTATCCTATGGCTAGTCATGGGTTAAGCGGCCGCATCCCAGGATTGGTATTGCTTTGATGGTGTTACAATTGTCCTCGGGGTAAGGAAAGCTATCATTATGCATGGCCGATAAATTGCCAACTTAAATACTCACAGAGAGTCTAATATGGTGGTTTAGATTTTAAAACACATAAAAATAAACCGAACACAATACGTTAAATATTGAACCAACATTATTTTTAATCAATTGTAAGAAAAAATCTGTCAATTGTATTTATCTATCAATTGTTTTAACATTTCATAATTCATTGTAATATTTTATCAATTTTACATTCACAATGATTATACTGGTGTATATTGCCTGAACATTAATAAAAAGTACCGAAAACGTAACAAGTACTTGAAGAATTTGTCAGTCGTTTTGGGTCGCGGGAAGCTCACTAGTTAAGAGAAGTCGCCTGAATTACGAAAGGTCGTGGGTTCGTGTTTCATTTCGGGTTACTTGGAGCTGGTGATTTTTTTAAGCATTTTTCATTAGGAAAATTTCACAATTACATTTATGACTATTTGCAATGTTATAAACTATACATAATTTAGGTATAAAAAATCTTAAACTACACAACGAATTTTGATAAAGCTTGCATCATATACAGGGTGAAGCGGAACGTTTATATGTATAATGTACGACCACGTGGGCAAAACCGCTGGCGGAAAGCTAGTTATACATAAATACCTTTATAGAAATGAAAGGGATATAAAATATAGTTAATTACTGATATTATTATTTTATTTATTTAATGGTAATAAAAAGCGTGGGGCTGTTTTAATGTGATAACCATTTTCTACTTTTAATTAATAAATGCAATTCCAATAATGTGTTTTATTTGTTTAATTTGAAATGTTTGTATCCATATATTTATGGACAAATTATCATTATAACTAGTCCTTTGATGGCCACGACCGCTCTGTCAAGAGCGTAACGATAGAGAAGAAGAAGATGTCTCGTACTGCTGGGGCATAGGTTTTATAAAGTTAGAATCGAATAGAGAGAATGGACCACGACCCATCACGCGGGTCCAGTGCGGATAAATAGGTGTTAACAGTCGAGACCAATGGCTTAATATGCCTTCAGAAACACGCAGAAGCTAGAGATGATAAATTTTGGTAATCCATCTTATGACCGAACTTCCGAAATATAACGCGTATTAATATATATATATATATATATATATATATATATATATTCAATAACAAGCTTTTGTTTGTAGCACAGAATGTTTTCTATCATATTTTCTAGAAAATAAATTTTATATAATACTAGCTTTTGCCCGCGACTTCGTCACCGTGATATAATTACTTTGGGCAACATATATTTTCCAAAAACGCTGTTGTTTTTTGAGCTGATGATGAAATTGCCTAGATGTTTAAGTTCGAAGATAGTACAACAAAATACCAACGAATGTCCAATATGTTACAACACTTTATCTTTAAACTTTAGAGATATTAATCCAATTTGAAATAAAGATGAAAAAAAAACAGTTCTTAAGTTTATACAAAACTTAATCGAAAACGTAATCTAAGCAAAAATCTTTGAAAGAAACCTTACCGCAGATTACTTTAGAATAAACGCTATCTAGAACACAGCGCCATCTATTGGGTGTTACCACAGATTACTTTAGCATAAACGCCATCTAAAACACAACGCCATCTATTGGGTGTATTTGCAACCTAGATGTCAAACGATATTGAAGAATTTTATCTATGAATCAACGTACAATGTATGAGAAACCTTACCGCAGATTACTTTAGAATAAACGCTATCTAGAACACAGCGCCATCTATTGGGTGTTACCACAGATTACTTTAGCATAAACGCCATCTAAAACACAACGCCATCTATTGGGTGTATTTGCAACCTAGATGTCAAACGATATTGAAGAATTTTATCTATGAATCAACGTACAATGTATGAGAACTTCATAAAACTAAACAGTAAATAAACACTTGCTTAAGAAACAATTAATTAGAACAATTTATTTGTTTACATTCACGACATAAGCGAATAATTGAGATGATAATTATCCTATCCAGTAAGTTAGACCAAAATACGACTACATGTGAAATTTGATAGAAATCGGTTCAGTAGTTTTGGAGTTTATTGGCAACATACATCGTGACACAAAATTTATATAATATATATAGATTTGTATTTTTTTTAATATATTATTAAAAAACATGACATAGATTCAGTAGCGGCGTTAGGGTAGGGCGCGGTTGGGCGACCGCCCAGGGGCGCCGGACGAAAAGGGACGCCGCAGGCCGCGAGGCCCCTTTTTCGTCCGGCGCTTCTTTCTGATTCTGTATAATGAGGAAGTACAATATTTAAAAAAAATGAAAGGACTATAAAAATACCTCCACCTAGATGGCGACTCTAGCAAAAGTTGATTTTTGCAGGAAACGAATGGAACAAAGACAGTCAATTCCGTTCATTTTAACTAACCTATTAAAAAACTAAAATTTTAAAAGTTTGAAACTTAGATATCAATACAAATAGCACAAATAGAATATGAGTTGTTAATTAAGTTTTGAAAACTAATCTACTTTTAAACATGAAAGAAAACTGGAAGGGTTGT